GTGGTCTCAATGATTTATTATGGTGTTTCTATGAAAACGGATTTCTTAGGAGGTAGTTTGTACACTACGTTTGTTATCGGCAGTATGTCAGAGGTACCTGCTCTGCTATTTTTAAACAGTGTGGTTGATAGGTTTGGAAGAAAACCAATATTTGCGGTATCTTATTTTGTTGCCGCAGCGTGTATGCTGTCTAACTGTTTTCTTTCCACTGAAGGTACTTTGAGCATTAAACATTATGAACAGCCTTTTTCTTCTAAACCCTGTTTTTTGTTTAAATGAGTAATTTGTAGCACACTGGGCATTCAGCACACTACAGTTTTTATTCACCAAGGCATCTATTACAATATGCTATGCAGTTATTTATATGGTGACTCCTGAGCTCTTTCCAACTGTGATAAGAAATTTGGCCGTTGGTTGTTGCTCTACAATTGCTCGTATTGGAGCTGTATCAGCATCTTACATTGCTATGTGGATTGTAGGTCTTTTTGCTTAGTTTTAGTGAGATTTTGAAGGTTATTTTAAGCGTATTTGTAGTTAAAACCCGCTGTTTACTTTTTAATGAATGGTTTTAGGTCGAAAGTTATGGCGCACTGGCAATGGTTATACCGTTTGGTAGCCTGGCTTTGGCTGCTGGCATTATTGTGTTGGTACTAATACCAGAAACGATGGGTCAGCCATTGCCAGAAACGATAGGCGAGGTTGAGCACTCTGAGGAAAATGACGAAGGAAAAGAACTAGCCTTAATGAATAATGTTGATAAAGACAATAATTTTTAGCTTTAGCTTTTTTTATTTCTTCATTTCATCTGACAAAAATTTTACTTTTTATTCAGCAGCTTAATGAGCATTTTTGAGTATTGTTATTTAGTTTAACAGTGACGAATATGGTAGTTTTTGGTAAACTAGTTCTATTTCTTTTTGTTGCTTCTTGCTAGTATGGATCAAGCCACTAAATTGGCTGCTGTAGTTGATATCAGATTTCCTTGTGTCAACTGTTTTGTTTCGTGTTCATACTGATATTTTTTGCCACTGTATAATTAGTTTTGGAAGATTTCGTAGTTTAATCCCGGTACAAACTTGTTTGTATTTTATGCGGTGATTCAAAAAGATTTTTTTTTGTCTTTTTGTTGCTTAAAAACGACAATTTTTTATCTTAATTCTATTCTGTGCTCTTTTTTTTCGCTTACGTTTAACATTCCAGCTTTTCATGTCAAAGCTGTCTCCTTCTAAAAACAATTAAAATATCAAACAATATGAAAGTATTTTTCGCTTTTCAGGTAACAGTTAGTTTACTTTGTTTTTGCTAAGTTATATTTATGGGAGGTTCAGTTTATATTTGATTTTGTTATACCTCATGACATATTGATGACCTGTTCTAGTTGTAAATGCATATTTTTTTCAATGGAATTGAGAGAGCTCTTAGGATGTTGGTTATCTTTTTGTTTAAAGGAAGATTTTTTATGTATCGAACATCTTTGATGACTCAAACTTTAGAGCCGTGAATTAGTCTTGGGTTTTTTTGCGAGCTAGGTAGGTCAGTTTCAAGTCATTTTTTGTATAATTTAATTATTGCTGAGCATCCCAATGCCATTTTTTATGAAGTCAGCCATAAGAGAGTAGTTGTTTTTAGCGCTCTATGTCTTTTTGCCTTTACAGTCAACTAATGTAGTAGTTGTTTATTGAAAGTTAATATAGTGATAGTTGCTGTTGCTGGTGTGACAGTGATTATCGGTGGAGGTGTGTGAAAAGGCGGTGACTGTTTTATGAATAACCTCGTTTTTTCAATAGTTCTCAGTGGAATATTTAGTGTCTTTTTTTTTAGTCTAATTTGGTAGTCGTGAGTGCATATCGGTAATGGAGTTTCCTCATAAGTTCCTGTGAGCGGAATTATGCTCTTAAGTATCGGTGGAAGGGGTTAGACGTGATGCCGTAGATTGGACATTTGATGTTATTTTTTATTTATCTTTAATAGAGATTGGAAAAATCATTTTTTTGTTGGTTTGAGGAAGGACTCAAAATTTTGAAGAACGTTGTAGGTTTCTGCTTCGTTATTTTGTTTTTTTCTTCTGTTATTCTTTTATCGCTTAATTTTTCGTTCCTTCAGTGGTTCCAAGCTTATTTCTGTTACTCATATTATATTCAGGCCTTTAAAAGACTGTGAAGTATTGCATTAAAGCTACCGAAAGCTTAACATGTTTTTTTTACTATCATTGGGTCGCAAGGTACGTTATGCATGTAGGTAAATGAAACGAGAGAAACTTAAGGTATGTTGGCTATCCCAAATTGTCTGTCTAGGCATTGCGGAATGACAAGCTCTCAAAACCTTTTAACAGTGCGACAGCGGTAGTTAGCCATTGTAACTGGTTATCTGAAGAGTCGTGTTTTTTACGCGACTGAAAAGGCTCATCTGTTTATTAGCTCGCTTCAACTATCGTATCAGTAGTGTT